TAACCTAGACGACGACGCCATCGTCGAGACCACTCTGTTATCCCTTCCCCACGCAGTTGAGCTCGAGAAACAGCTCGCTGAAGCACCCGCGTCCGCTGCCGCCCCCATCATATCCCAGATTCACATCATACGCGCCATCGCCGCCCTTGAACTCAGATTCAAAGAAATTGAAAACGATGCCCTCAGACTCGCCTGCCAGCACCTCCAGAGACAAATACGCAGCCTTGAGATTCAGCTGCTTCCTTCTGCTTTTAGCACTATCTGCAAGTCAGTTATACGGACTGTTGAAGAGCGAAACCAGACCGAAGTCGGTCGCCCGCCAAGCCCTTTTACTAGCGCTCCCCCCAGCGACGTACCTGCTGCAGTTACGGCTGGAGAAGAGACTCAGCCTGTTGCTCAACCGACACCAGTTGAAGAACCACTCCCCATCCCCGAACCCACCGTCGTCTTCAAACGAAAGACCCGTAGAGGGGCTACCGTGCACGGAGTGTCGAAGACTAAAGCTTCTAAGGGAAAGAAGCGTGAAGTCATCGACCTCACCGAAACCCCCGACGTCATCACTGTAAAACAACCCCAGTTTTCCTCAGACAATTTCGTCTGCCGCGTCTGCAAGAAACTTGGGCACCGTCACAAGAACTGCCCCGAATATTACTGCCGCATATGCCAGGCCCAGAAACCCGGCCACTTCTCCATCTATTGCCCTTACGCTGCGAAGAAAGAACTGTTCCCATTGGTTTATACCGATGACGGCTTCTATGAAGCACTAGCGGCATGGGAGGCCAGGAAAGACGAAGAACTTCAGGAAGAAATAGAAAGGGCAAACCAGGATTACGCCACCAGGTATAATGAACCAGAGTTCTGCAACGCTGACGCGGATCCCATCCACTACGACTACATGGACGAATACTGCAACACCGAAGAATATTGAAGTCGGAGACTTCAACCGTAACAGGGGGGTAATGTTACAGTAACATTTAACCCCTATACTCATTTTCCTTTCTCACTTCCAAACGGGCCGTCCGTACCACGCTTATCTCTTATCATGCCTATCTCTTATCTTGACTCTTATCTTGACCAAGCGGGCTGTCCGCCTCTTTTTGCTTCTATCTTGATAAACGCATTTACAAGCTCCGCTTGAACATTGGTATATAAACTTACCTACCTACGGTTGTATTCTTTACTTTAATCTACTGGGTTTTACCTGGAACATTGTCCTTCAGCAAGGTCTCCAACCTTGCTGCCTAAGAACTACTATTCTAAGGGAGTCAGCGACACTCGCCTTAGCCAGAACACTTAAACTCTCAATCGAGAGCAGACTAACGTCTATCTGGCATCCTGCCGATTGTCTACTCAGACAAAGATAGCTCGACTCATCCCAGTCGTAACAGAGCCGATCAATTAACATTTTGCACTGACAATTGGAAAGCCGCTAACTCAACAGAGGAGAACACTGTCCGTGTTTTTGAACAGACTGGTATCTTTCTCTCTGTGTGTCGACACGGAATCATTCAAACGGTCACTGAGATGCGTCGCAGTGGCGAGCTGTAAGTTTTCAATACAATTCAATATTATGTTGCTAATGATTTTCAAAAGTGCGAAATATCCTCTCGCTACTATCAATAAGCTTCTCGACGTCTTCGGTGACAATCAAGCCATTGGTAGTGATATCGGTTGCAGCTTATCTAAGACAGTCACCGCCAGCTCTATACGAGACAAAGCCTTCGATCGTAAACTTTCGCTGTCGGTGAATGCATTCCACGGACATGCTCACAACCGCAAATGCCAGCTGCAGTATCACCCCATGTACCTACGTGGCTTCGGACTTGAAGATCTCGAAACTTGTGAACATATTTTTGCAAGCTTGAACGCTGCAGCGTGTCTCATTCATCATGCATCGCATTTTCACTATGGTCAGTTCCTAGACCTGCATTTCGACCAATGGGACATGGATAAATATTTGGAACTCAGTGAGTGTTTATTATCTGACTATGTAGTAATTCTGATTGATCTAATTGAAATTTAGGCCACTTTATTTTCAATAACTACAAACAAGTGGTTACCCTGATTGATGATTTTACCAAAGAACTCAACGCCTACCGCTTATCCTTTCCTGACCAAGCCATGGATTTCGAGACTTGGGTAACTGAAGAACTCACATATCTGGAGTCCGTTGCATCGGAGCCTGCACGCGACGCTCTCGCAGTCGATTACGTTGAAGCGCTTGAGAAGCTCAACACGTACCAGTAAGTTTCATTTTACTTTGTTTGCATATATTTTAAAGTTCACAATCAATTCAGACAACAGTTCGACTCGTTTGGAACTGATAAATTTCTGACGTACTTGCCATCATCATTCATACCTGACTCTGGGTTGAGTGTTGCAGCTTCTCAATCAACTAAGCAGGCACAAGCGGCTTGGCGTGCAGTGGAATGCCATCTTCAAATTCAAATCAATGTTGTTGAGGATCTCGAGACCCGCCTCGACATTGCTGAACGGTGGACACCTGGATATTCAGATTATTGGGAGACACTTGAATATAGCTGACGATGGAAATTCATTCGTGTGGTCGAAGATTTTGAGGGTCTTGTCGTCCAGCGCTTGTTTGAGTTGTCTAAAGCTAATCTCTCGTCAACCGGTACTAACTTAATGTTGATTAATGCATTCTACTGATGAAATCTTTCGCAGGCTATAAACTTCGAAGACAAATATCTCGAGCCATCGTCAAACGATCGGGTGCAATTCGTACTGCACTAGACAAGTACAACAAGCTCGCTGTCGTGCAAAATCCACGAAGGCCAACACTACAATATAGTGAGATTCTGTCTTATGTGGCCCTTGGCGAGTTTGATATCCTCAAACATTCACGACACGATATCCTGACCAAGCCTTGGAGCAACACCACACATCATCAGATGGGTGTCAAGTACTTCAAGATTCTCCGAGCTCGTGAGGAGATTACTCGACTCAATGTTGAAATCTGCCGCCTGCACGCTTGGATCGATGCTGAGGATTCTGACATCAAACATGTGGCCACTGAGCTTGAGCTAACTAACCCTCCGCTTGCATCAGAAATTTGGAGGCTGTATCATTGGCAGCGGAGGGTCAATGATGTGCACCGTGTTCGTATCAATCGCATATATTCACTTGAAGGATTTACTGGCTGTGTTCCTTCTGATGTGACCGCAACAGATGACTCATTGGACTCTGTAGATGAAGTCTCAGTAGAGATCTCTTCTCAGCCATTCGCTCCCTCGGATTCGTGACTCCTGGTTTCCAAACAACTGTTGGAAAACGGTTGATCTGCCTACTAGACTACGATGGAGTGAGTTTTTTTGTTTTCATTTGCCTTACTGCCAACTGATTCTCATCTAGATGCTACCACGACTGACATGACGTCCAACAATATCTCCGATGTCGAGCGGATTGCTTTTAAACTTAACGACGGTGTGTTCATTCCTTCCATTTTGTTTTGACAAAATCGCTCAAGGTCACACTCAGGCACTAAAGAGCTCACGCCTGCAGAGACCCATCCTGGTGTCTACGCTAGAGACACCACTGGTAGCCCATCTTGCTCGACGTCGCTTGATGCATTGGGCCCTGGCGCAATGGCCGAAAGTCGTCAGTTGCCTCAAGGTTCGGCTCCTGGTTACCCAGTTGTCCGAAATCTCGGCACTGAATGTTTGAACGGCTGTGTTGGTACCCCAAACACTCCTACCTTTGAGGACATAAAGGTCATCCTTGTTAATATACATGATCTTCCATGTGGTGTTGTCCGTGAGATTCACTCTTGTGTTCTTCAAAGGGAAGGCTTCGAGGACACGCAGTGGCCATATGTTCTTGATGCTAACTTGGTGCTTGAGCCTCGAAATCTGCTCTTTTGTACGCTATCCATAATCTAGGTGAGTTTTGAGTTTTGGCAAAGGAGCGAAATGACTGAATCAAATTTTAGTGTCTTTGATCTACTAAGTACAATTTTTTGTAATGTTATTGCATGTCAGAATCTCATATCTTCTTTCGGGTCCATATTTTCGAGCAAGTGCCGTTGCTGCACTGCTGTCTGATAAATAGCCCTCTATGTAAGTCAGAAATTTTGTTACTTACCTCGCCTATTCAGTTCATCATGGCACGTGGAAATACAAGCAAAGTCAAGAAAGTCCGTCCCCAGCTCACAACGTGTCAGAAGGCTGCGTGTCGTGCGAAGTTCATTGCACTCACTGATGATGTGAACAGTGCTCGCACAACCTACATGGACCAGGTTCAAGTCCTTGCCAAGAAACATGGACAGTGAGACCTTCTATCATGATACATAACGACAGTACTCCGAGGCTCAACAGATGCTACTAGCTCCGAGCATTGGACGCGATGTCAACTTTACCTTGGGGGTCAGACGGTTCGGCGTTCTCAGCGTCCAAATGCGTGGAATGCATTTGTTCACCAACGACTGGATGACATAAACGAAGGTGTGTGTATCTATATCACTTTGTGCTCAATTTCAACTCCTTTCCAGGCCTATCAAAGGGTAACCGTTGGAAACTCACAGAGTTTATTGAGTCTCATAAAGAAACTCTTTGCAACGACTATGCAAGACTCTCACGCGCTCAAAGGAATAATTACAAAGTCGAGATTATCAAGATGCGTGCCGACAAGCAGTGCATGGTCCACGACAACCCAAGAGTGGTCCAGCGCGACATGCAGGCTACTTTTGCTGCTATGGACCAAGAGGTACTTTCATATTTTCTTCGTCGCTCGTTTTCTGACAGGCATATAATCCAGTGGACAGCTATTTGCTCCCACCTCGGTGTTGAAGGCTTTTATGTGGCTGTCTGTGGTGGAATTGAGGACCTTAGTGGTCCCAAACTTTTTTTCAGAGAAGGCCGAGAAGTTTGTGCGAGCCGTTCTGGATCTTGAGCCTCGGCGCCTGGCATTAAAACTGGAAGCATTTGCTGTCTCTGGCCTTGGTAAGTTTCTATATTTTACTCTAACTAATGTGTTTTTGATGATGTTCTATTCCCGCAGCTGAAGACATACCGACTATATCAAGGGAGAAAAAATCTCTCAACCAGCTGGTCAGTGAATGTCGGACGCTCATACAAGATGAACTTGGTGAGCACCATCTCTATCATGGAGTTTTCATTGTTGCTGATGTTGATGCAGACTTTATCTTGCGCGAAACAAACTCGCCAACCACGCGAAAATGAACTATACTAACTACGAGCACGCCATTGTTGAACACTATGGCGTGGAGCTCAAAGGTTGGCCCTTTGAACTTCTGCCAGTCCAGAATCCCTCTAGTATTGGCGGATGCAAGTCAGTGCAATTATTGATCAACAGACTCATCGAAGAGACCTGTAAATGGACGAAGCTAACTGAGGAAGAGCTTGCAGACAGGATTACCAGCAATCATGCTCGGCAAGCAGCTGGGGAGACCGTCTACAAACCACGGAAGATGCGCACCAAAAAGACAGTAGAAAAGAGTGCTGCCATTGTTGAGAGTAGCAGTGAGAGTGACGAGAACGAAGGGGATGATGGGGACAATGAGTAATCATTAGCATTATTAGTACAGGGCACATGTAATTGCTATGGAAGTATAAGGGCTGAAGAATGGGAAGTCCATGCTGCTAGACGCGTGTAAGGGCTGAAGAATGGGAAGTCCATGCTGCTACACCGTCCGTGTCACCATCGCTGCCATCTGAACGCTGCATCAATGACTCACCATCGTAAAACTGGTCCATCATATCGAAAGTCGACCCAGCTTCCAGCGAAGCCTCCACAGCGAGGGCAGCCTGCTGTGTGCGACATTGATCTGCCCCATAGCGGTGAGGAACAACAGTTAGTATGCTTAGTCAGAAACACAGAAGGTACACAAATACTCACCGAATATGTAGCTAAAATGAGACAGATGCACTTGAAAAAACATCACAAGAGTAGAGTAGGACCATAAGACAAAGGATGCGCAAAAAACGCGCTCAAATTTGGGTAAGGTTGAGTGATATAGCGTGCTCGTCGTTGTAGACGATGAGCAGAGGCTGTGGGAACGTTGGCGCCAGCGGCGGGAGTGGTCGGCACCCAGCCTGCACATTGCCAAAAGTTGATTATGCTGCAGTCAGCTAAGCCACCATCGGATAAAGCCGAGAGGAAAAAAATGTACCTGCGAAGTCACTGCTGATTACTATCATTCCCTGTAATATGTCCACGGTTCCTAATATGCAAAATGTTATAACAATTCAACATCATGCTCAACTGGCTTCGAAAAAATTCAGGCATATGCAGAATACCTAGAAATGATGTTTTGCACGAGTAGAATAAAATATTCTTAGATGTTGCAGTTCCAAGAGATGAAATTGTGCCAATTTACAACCTTTGTCCAACACAAATCACCCAGATCCTGATGATCCTGCACAGGTACTCATAAAATTTTACCTGGGACATGAAGGACACCTTCTTGGGATGTCATAAAACCAATTCGATAATAGTTACTCTCCTGTGCTGAGGTGCTACAGTGGTATAATCAACAACAAGTCTGAAAGCGTGACACCAGACAGGGGAGGTGCACAAATAATTCAATCTCCTCCTCGGCACACACGGCATCTACCTTCTGCTCAAGTCTCCACATTGTATTGTATCATTCTCTCCAATGGCACCACACCGCAGGAAGGCAACACGTTCAAAAGCTGAAGAAGATGCCACTCGTGAAGCCAATATTTCAGCTGCTATCAAGGCTGTCAGGGAGAATCAGGCTAAAAACCTCTTGGCAGCAGCTGGCCAGTTTAATGTACCATACCATACCCTTCAGCGGCGCGCACAAAACCTCACAAAACCTCATTCGAAGGCCCACAAACGTCAACAACTACTTACCCAAGGGCAGGAAGAAACACTATGTCACTGGGCTAAGTACTTGGCACCCTTATTTTGCACCAGCGCTGAGTCACAGCAATACAGATTTTCGAGTTGGCAGCACAGTGCGGACTGAGGATGTGTATGCAGGAGGGCACCAATACATTCATAGTAACTATTACCATCAGTATTAGATACTCTGAGTCAATAGTATTTACCGTTTTCGAGCCTTTCCGAGTCACGAAGCATGCAGAGTTGGAAGACTTCGGAGAGTGAAAGTCGATTGTGCCGCTACTATGCCGAGGCGTGACAAGCCGTGACCAGAATTGTGCAGATTGGAGGGTAACCCTGAATTTTCTCGGGCTTGCTCCGACACTGCACTACATTATTCTAAAAATCAGTAAAAATCAGGTCCATTTAGAAGATATACAAATCTATGACAGGTAAAATTTTCGAAAGAAAAAGTGATGTGGTCGAGGGGCTAGAAAAGATTTTATGAAAATGTTACATATTACAGGGAATGATAGTCACAGCACAAACGCGAAAAATATGAACCTGCTACAATTTCGTAGATTCTCAGATTCCCGTACAATTTCTTGACATTTTCCCACTCAAAAAATACCAGTCTGTGAAATCATAGAGAGTCTCAAAATCATCCGCCATTTCCTGGCTGGTAAATCCTAGCACAATCACGTTGTAACGCACATGACTATACACGCGCTCAATTTGACTAAGTCCCAACTCCTATATATCCACTACCATCATCTTTCGAGCTCTGCACCCATGTCAGCACAAGAACGTCGGCACAGGTGCACCTGCGCACGTTGCTCACAACATCCGGATGGATTCGCATACCAGACAAGACAAGTCATCTCGAAACATGTCAAGAAATGGCCCTCGGTCCCTCAGAGCCTCTGCAAATGTTGGACGTAAACGCTAACACCAACTTGAATGCGAGTGCGAGTACCAACCATCGAGAGAGATTGGAGATACAACCAGCCCCACTCCGAGTCAGAGACGAGCCTGAGTATGACTTCAATGATTTCCAGGACGACCAACCTGCAGGAGAGCCAGAGCAGTACCCTGTGGAACGTTGAGCACCCAACCACCAACCCCTCCAAGACTATAATTTCCGTCCAGTTCCATGGCCTGATGTACGAATTCCTGGCAGTGACCAGGATCAGGAGGACCGGCCATCTCTTGTTCCGAGAGCCTTCAATGAGCGGCCAGGTGTCCGTCTTGCATATCTTAACACGGTGATAGGCAACGTCTTTGGGAAACAGATGCAACGAACTCTGACTCCTTTGGCAGATTCTCATATTTTCGGATACGCACTTCAAGTTTCTAAGGTACCCAGGCGAGTTTTAGTTTTATTAACATTTGACAGTCTAAACGACTTACACCTCTGGCATGACTTTGTAGTTTTGATCGTGAAATCACTGTTACGATGACAGCCTCAGCCTCGGGCCCAGGAGGAGCACTTTCAACTGTGTCTGAGGCAGCTGTGAGGGGCGCCATCAAGTTTCTGGACAACTTGCCAGCCTTCCGCAAATTCTTCTGGAGGTCCTGATATTTCTTAATGACACGTGCACGCAAGTCCTCATCGCTGATGTCACAAAGAGCAGGACCGCTGCCGGCGCAAACGGTAGCACCATGTTGGCGCATGTAAGCAATAATGCACAGGACATTGGCATGATTATCAGTATGCTGATGAGATTCAGCCCAGCGAAACCGCATCAAGCGCTCCTTTGTGGCAGGATCGAGTGACCAATCGTCATCATCGCTTGGATATGGGGGGAGAATGTCGATGGTAAGCTTTGCAATTCCCATTAACATCTGAAACACAGTCCGAACAACGGCCTGGATGATGGCTGATTACTATGGCACCCCTTGTAGATTCAGCGATCCGCCCACCTTTAGACCATTGTCTCCAAATGCAATGGCACTCTTTTCAAGCTTCTCGACATCTTTCTCAAACTCTTCGTCGGTCTCTGCTTCAGCCGTGTCTCCCACATCATCGTGACTCTTATTTGCAAGCAAGCTGGCCAGTTTTGCCTCGAACCTTTCCTCCATATCCTTGATCTGAGCCTTCAGCTCTGTATTTGCGGCCTCAATCTGCTGAACACATCTAGTCTCCACTGCACGTAGTTCATTTGCATATCACAGCTCCAAGTCCTCTGCATGGGCCAGCCGGCGGTTGAAACTGGTCATTTCACTCAAAACCTGAGAGATTTTCATCGACTTTGGTGGACCGCTAGTGTTCTGTGCTGAGCTGGTGCTTGTTCCGACACCCCCTGGAGCTGTAGCAAGTCGGGGATCTATGATGGGAACGACTGACGCCGGCCGCTGGAACTCATGCGAAGACGACCCTGGTGTCAGCGCTGGGACAGACATTGGACGACCATCCAACATTCCTGCCGGGCCACCTGGGTACATGGCTCTTTCCGTTTCATGTGCACCAACCATTCCACCATACGCATGGCCTGTTGGTGTGCTGGGATGGCCATACAGGGGAGGGGGAGGGGGAGGATTGAAGTTGAAGTTATACTCAGTGTTCGACATCGGATGTTGTGGTGGGGAGTTAGACGCGTCGTTCCACTCAATCAGCTCGTCACCCTTATGTGCTATAGGTCTAGCATCATTCTTCCTTATAATTGAGTTTGCTGCACACAAATTCGAGTTGCTCTGTGATTTAAAGCTATTGTCAAAGCGTGATTGTTGCGCAGTTTCTATGAATGGAAATATTGCGTGAATTCTGGGGAAATTGTAAGGTAAAAATGTGTTACATTGCGGGCAAAGTGTGTAATAGTTGGCAAATGGCTCGATGAGAGAATGTACCACGAAACTTCGTGATAATGTGGTGTATTTTTACACTTCACCCACATTTTAACCACATCGTAATTCGTGCGTTTGTGCTGTGAGTACTGAAGTAAGTGGTGCAGTACTGTAGTATAGATTATTCCCTCTAACTAGTAACGCGAGAGCGTACGTTCTCACGTTACTAAGTAGTAACATAAACGGTGTCACTCAGGTGAGGGCCCATCTCTGAAATGGCCGTCCGGACCAAGTATGGGGGCACCTCCAAGCGGAGTGTGAATGTTGTTTCTCACGCTTGCTCACTGTGTGCAATAGCACCAAGGACTTGGTGCAAACAATGGTCCCTAGTATTATTCCATTCGTTTGTTTTTGATTGTCCTAGCATGGTGAATCGTGCTTCAATTCATATACTCCGAAGGCAACAACACATTGATCAGTAAGTATCACAACTTCTCGCGTCTATCTGTGGTTTACCTCTGGGCTCGGCGTGTTGTTATCCACACATGCGCTTATTCTGGACTATGGAACAGGGCTTCCAAAATACCACTCGCGAGGAAGTCATCGAAATACCACAAGTCAGGCGCATCTTTAGTCTCTTCTCCGGAAACACCATAGTCAACGCTGTTGGAGTTCGAATGACTTAAAAGTCAAAACCGTCACACATTGTGTGGCACGATCCGCAGTCATCCTGGCAAGCGATATACACCGCGTTTTCGCACTGATGGACGGCTTATTGGCTAGGCCATCTGCGGTCCATGTGACTTCAGCGAATATTCTCATACCATAATAATAACGATTGTGTGTATGCCCTGGACCCTGGTTAGAGCCTGGCTCGTCCTGCGCAGCACGAATTCAAGAAAACTTTTCACAGCGCTAGTTCTGAGAGGTATTCCGATGATTGAATGTTGCCAGTGCGAACCCTTGTCTTCTTTTAGTATGCATGTGAGATAGTGTTCACCTGGGTTTACTCATGCTCCTAATCGCTCAAGGCCTGGATTGATTCATCTTGGAGAGTTTCGACATGCGGTGAGCGCCAATATTGAATAAAATAATGTCAAGGGCTAGTTCTTCGTCTGACATGACTTTTATTTTGATTCATTGAATCACATCACCACCATGGCTTTCGGGGAGTCCCTGGCCAGACTATATGAAGGAAGATTGGGCTGTTCTTCTTCCACACAGTCTAGCTAGAGGAGACTCTCGATTGTAGGTGTCTAGCCGGGCCTTGATGCATTCCGAATATTGTCACTAGTAGATCCTGGCATCGCATGTTGATCGTATCATATTGCTACGCAATCGTCAAGAAAGAAGAATGGGTTCCGTCATATCCGTGGTCTATATCAAGTCTATGTAGGTCATGGGCAATGCCCAGTAGAGGTGACACATCGGACATGACCTAGGGGAAGCAGTGGTCCAATTTATACAGCCCTGATCAAGAATCGAATTCCAAAAACTTGAAGGCATCGTATGACCTGGCAGGTTGCATGCGGTGCGGTGTGGCCGCATGGGTTATCCACGTCAATTGCCGAACTGAAGCACACTGTTGAGTCCGAGACATGTCGCATATTTACCGCCTACTATTTCAGGATCAGGTACCTGCATGCAGCAACCAGGACTACTAGTCGCTCAGAGCCTCCGTGAGCTTCTTTCTGATAAACATCTTAGACTCATCCAGATTCTGTCAATGTATAGTGTGACCTAGTGTGACATCGGATTTCGAGTGAACTTAATATCGATCAATCACTACGAGAGCAGCCCTGGGCAGCCGGGCTGTATCAACAATATTTGAATAGGTAACATGATTTATGTTTGAAAAGATATTTTTCGTAGATTCCGGCTATGCAGTCATATTTACAGTAAATTTTTGTTTTTCGCTAAAGTAGATTTGCACATGCAGGACCGCAGGTTACTGCAAATTCATTGAGAAAAGTTTAATGCAGAGCTACCACGCTCATCCTTGACAATTTTTTTGTAAGAAGGGTGTATTATTGTTAGTTGGACGTTTCTAGATCAGTGTAGCAATGTCAACAAGGCTGCAGCCAATGTGCAAGCACCAGGCGTATCCAAAGCTAGGCAGGATCGAGATATCATAGACTAGGGGAATTGTGTTTTACCGTTCATACGTACTTCCCAAAGAAAGGTATTAGTGATTGCGCGAGGGTATAACTGAAGACCAGCTTCGGCCCAACGACAAGAATCTACGTTCACAAGTCATTAGCACGAAGTTGAACTAGGATAAAGATTAATCACTTTTGGGGTCAAGCCCTTGAAGAATGCTGTAGGGCCTTCATTTCGGATAAGGTCCCTCATAACCGTTAGGCCAGGCACCTTCTGCTCGAAGTTTGCATTTTGGATACGAGTCTTGACTGTGTCTAGGGGTGCTGCAATTGTGATGGATGCAACAGCTCCTGCGATAGATGCAATGAAGTTCTGGGTCCACGTGGCTTTGGAATAGTCAGTGACACCAAGCGCGTACTCCTTCGTCACCGCCGAAGCGCCGAAGAGCTGAAACAGACGTTCAGCACGATAAGCATGGCCACCGAAGTAGACTTACCGCGAAGGAACCTGGCGCATTACGCGCCATGGTCCAACCCCATCCACGGTATAGGGTGGTGCCTTCCTCCATGAATATCCGAAGGACTCCTCGTCCACGGAACGCCTCGGGGTTGACTTGTCGTTTTATCTTCAAGGCATCTAGAGGAAGTAGAACCTGAGAGAACGTTACTACCCAGTCAGAAAGCTATGGTGAAAAATGACTCACAACTTCACCAATACCAGTCAAGCTGCGCGGAACAATCAGCACATTGCATTTACCACGTGAAAATTCAAATTTACCTGCCAGCAGTTGCCTGCATCATCATCTTGCCCTTCCTCTCGCCAAATATGCTCGTGAACTCGTCCTTGTAATTTCGCGTGATGATCTCATTAAACCATGGTTGCCCACCGAACTTGTATATCCGTTGGGAAATTTTGTACCCTGCTGCATACCCAAGACCGGGGAATAGAGACAGAAGCTTTTTAGGCAACGAAGCCGTAGCGTAGTCGCGGAACACGATCGGGGAAAGCGTTGAGAAGGATACCTGGATGTCAAAAGGTGGTTAACAAATTGCAACAAATGAGTTTTACAATAAAAATGTACTTTGGCTTTATTGCTCATAAGCCGTTTTGCTACTGTGTCAACTGGATGAAATACCAGCAACTCAGCGACACCTAGTGGCCATGACACAGTAAGCTACTTCGTTATTAGCATTACAGACCGAAACCAAAGTACAAACCAGATGCACCAGACCCCAGAACCCGGGCAGTCCCTGACTCTTTGCTTTTCCCAGAAGTTGGAGGAGACATTATAATAGTTAGCGAGGGTCTGGTAGACGAGAAGGGAGATCGTAGAAGTGCGTTAGTACTAGTACTGTACGACCCGTCACCTGCTTAAACTTGTACCGCGCCATATATGTTTAGACTTATTTGTCCACTGATAACAAATGGCGAAATATGGTACAATAGTACTGGATTTATAGGCCAAATTGACCTAAATTTAAACGTCACAGAGCCAGACTCGGACCCGACGGCCTACCGAAGTCTAAGCTTCTACTGTCACCGTGTCCCACATTCCGTCAATAGGTTCTCATCGGAATGAAGGGCCTGGGTACCATGCTGGTCTCGTGAACTCTTGGCGACATATATGGTCAATTTAAAGAACATGATCTGGGAATCACGCGTCGTAAGCCTTTTTGTTTCTCAACTTTACACTACCACCATGTTCACCAAGAGAAGGGCATTCAGCACCCTCTGTTTCGCGCTCGCAGCTGGTGCGACAACCCAAACGTTCCTTGGTTTAGACACTCCCAACTATGGAACTTCAAGGCAGCTCATGAAGTCGTTCACACAGTCTTTCACAGCGCCTTACGACGAAGGGTTGTTCATGCCTGTCGAGCAGCTCAGTGCACTCTCAGAGGCACAATTTACCACCCTCGCCCATCCTTTATTCCCGAACTATAGTGTTCGGATCAAAAAGTCTTCTGATTTCTGTGATGGAACTGTGAAGTGAGTATAGTCTGCAGATGTTTAGGACTGGCACGATAACGCGTCTAAACCTCAGTGCTTACACGGGGTACATCGATATCCAGGCCAGGCATCTATTCTTTTACTTTTTCGAGAGTAGGAATGATCCTGCCAAAGACGATGTGATCTTCTGGACCAATGGTGGTGAGTTTTCCTGTGGCAGAGTTCTGTTGCGGTTCATGCAACGTGTTTATCAGGTCCTGGGTGCTCCTCCAGCCTTGGTGTCTACGTGGAACTAGGACCTTGTCGAGTAGTGAACGACACTAGCACGGTGTTCCATCCTGAGTCCTGGAACTCTAATGCGAATATCTTCTTTGTGGATCAGCCAATTGGTGTTGGTTTCTCGTACGCAGACTATGGAGAGACCGTGGTAGGTCGAATGCCCATCGCATGAAACTACACTATTAACCGTCTGGCAAGAGTACTACTGAGGAAGCTTCGAAAGATATCGCTGCATTTGTTGCGATTTTCTTTGAAAACTTCACTCAGTTCAAAGGACGTGCGTTTCACATGGCTGGAGAGTCTTATGGAGTACGTATGGTTCATACCATTCCGGCGTGAAGAAAGATTAATTGGGAAACTGAAGGGACGTTACGTCCCAGTCTTCGCTGCTGCAGTCTACGACCAGAATGCCTTATTGACTGCGGCTGGTGTTACGCCAATCAACCTTCAGTCTATCATGATCGGTAACTATTCGCACCAGAAACAATTTCATCAACTTATCTTATCCCACGTACAGGCAACGGTTTGACCGACTTTTACACAATGACTGCGGCCTATGTAGAAATGCAATGCACTGGCGCATCGGTCTCCCCTGTGCAGAGCATCTCGTATGTGAATTCTGACATCAACATTTATTGACTGACACATCTTCCAGTGCCTGTAATCGTATGAAGAAAGCGGTTCGGTGCCTTCATACAGATGACGTCGATGGAAGCTGACCTACTTTCCATAGCTCCCTCGATGCCAAAAGTGGTTGACAGATTCATGCATCAACCAATTCGATTTAATGAACTGTGAAGCGGCTTCAAACTTCTGTGATACTGAGATATCAGATCCTTTTTTCTCGACCGGTAGGTTTAATGATCTCCCCCGTCTACATACACATATTCATGTCACTGTAGGCATGAATCCCTACGATCTCAGCAAGGCCTGTGATGGACCTATCGCGGAGACGTTATGTTACCCTATTACGCTGTAAGCCGACAGTCTTTTCGTGCAATCAGCCTAGCTAACTTTAGGCTAGGTCTATGGCAAACTTCCTTGACCAACCATCCGTGCGTCAGAAACTCGGCGTGGATCCCGCTGTGATAGGAAATTATAGCTCCTGCAGTGATCCCGTTGGGCAGGCTTTCGCGTTGGCTATGGATGAGTATCACCCAACCTACCCTCACGTTGCCGCACTTCTCGAGCGCGGCGTACGCGCATTGATATACGTGGGATCATATGACTGGATCTGCAATTGGCTTGGTAACCAGGCGTGGACGCTCAACATGGAGTGGAGCGGCAAAGAAGCGTTTGGGCAGCAACCCCTCGAGTCTTGGCTGGTTGATGGAAAAGTCGCTGGAAAGACTAGGAGTGCGAACGGACTCACGTTTGCTACTGTGGATGGTGCAGGCCATATGGTCAGTGTCAAGCTCACATTCAACTTCGTTGCAATGCTGACTCAAAGTGACAGGTCCCGCTTGACAAACCCAAAGAAGCACTCACCATGGTGCAACGTTGGTTGGCTGGGAGTGGCTTATAGATATTCACAGACACCTATGTATATCCGTGGTTCCCGTTTAAAACCTAATTTTCTGTTAAGCTATCACGCCCGATGCTACAAACACAATTCTGACCGTGCATCCAACAAAGACGTATACGAATCACAGTGAGGAATTGGAGCAAGTGCATAAGAGTGTCCGACGACGATAAACAGTGATCATGGTGTCGCTCATGGTTTCAGATGCCTACTTGTCTTCGGATGACGCTCAATCACAGCTCGACGACCACAGTTTAATTTCGAAAACGCAGAGTCACGATTTGAATCGCGTTTTCCAGGTGAGCAGAACAAGCTTTCTTTTAGTTGTCCTGCAGGACTCGTACCCAAATAGTCTGGCTTTCACTAACGCGGGCGGCTTGTGCACTCACCCCTCGTCAGATCCGACTGCCCGCATTGTGCGACAATCTAGCCACGGCTAAGGTCTGAGGTGCCGGAAGTGATTGCCCCCATCACGGTACAAAAACGATCAGGACTGACAAGTAGCGCGCGTTCTTCAGTCGATGATATCACCCCGCCAATAGTAGTACAAACCTATGATGGTGATTTAAAAGACGCACTAGCGTTATTGCTCAAGCTTGCAACAGCAAGAGTCAAGAACGTGTAGATGCTCAATGTCACAATATTCATTGATTGGCTGGGGACGATTAAGCGGAGTACCATATACTCACTCAGATACTATGGAGGTACTCGCAGAACAAACATGACACTCAGTCTGGAGAATATGAAATAATTATATTTGAATCGTGTAGCGTAATATACATGAGCGGGAAAAATTATCAAGCACCTGCAAGATAGGCGTAATCAGCGATCAAAGTAAATAGATGAGATAAGAGGAAAAAGGTAAAGTCTCAGAACAAAATCCTCAGGTCATGTCCTGCTTGTCGAGCAGGTCGTATTCATTATAATCAGTATATTTTTAAAATCATGGACAGCTTGCGTGTGCGCAGTATGAAGGACAAACATGAAAGACTCACGTTGTGTAGGAATCAAAATTACAGAAAGACGGATATGAATTTGGATGTCCCAGAGAAAAATCGACATGCCACGGCCTCAGGATGGCACCGCGACACTTCCTATAGTGGGTTCGTTCTCGAAGGTAAACAAAGACTCGTAGAGTCCATGGCACTGAGTCGACAGTGGAAAATTCTGCAAAACGACCAGCGTGGCAAGCCTTCTTGGAAGAACAGGAAGGAATGACATTGTTTATATAGAGCATTTCAAGCGGAGCTCAAACTTGTAACGAGACCCGTTTTTTCTCCGACTCAGGGGCCTCTCTCGGACGCCATGCCAATTACACTTGAAGGGAGCTGCCATTGCGGTACTGTGCGATTTACAGTGAAAAGCAGCACCCCTGTTCCATATCAGGTGAGTGTACCCTACAACTTAAACCTCCACCATATTTCGTGACTATGGACATTCAAAGCTATGTGTATGTTCCATTTGCCGCAAAGTAGGTGGTGTTGGCGGTTCGATCAATCTTGGTGCACATTCCAAAACCTTGATTATCACCCAAGGTAAAGAATACATCGGGTACGTAGTTCAGTCACGTAACTTCCCGTGCCTCTTTGCTGAGTACGAGAATAAGAGTGTATAAGGCTGTGATGGACAGGGATACTCCAAAAGAGCATATCGCAATTTCTGAGCGCAATTTCTGCATGAAATGCTCTTCTATGCTATGGCTTTATGACGAAACCTGGTGGGTGCTTGAGTGATATCTGTGTAACGAATTTTTCTCAAGGTATCTCGACATAAAGGCCTGAATTTTTGCATCCATTTGCATCAGTTATCGACTCGCCGGAACTGGAGGCACCTGATGAGCTTGTAAGTGTTCTTAGCCACTCAAGTGCGATTACTCTGATGCATGGATTTCAAAGGTTGTTCTTAAGCTGAATTCAAAGCCTAACTATGTGCGCCTTCCAGAGGGAAGGAAGAATGTGTTCGAGGATTATCCCAGTGATTCCATTGAGAGCTGGCACAAGAAGCACAAGAAGTACGTGGAATGAAATACTGACTTTGTGAAAGAGTGGAACCACGTGTGATCAACCCTGGAAGGGAGACTACTGACGAATTGGCCGGACAACTGGCTGAGTAGCACCGTGTATTGTAAACACCAGCCGCAGAGCTCTAGTAGAGTCGTGATTTATGAATGAATAAATTTTTTATTGGCCACATAAGCTCAGGTACTTAGGTAGGCCAACCGCGCATGTCCTATCATTTTCTTGGATGACTTTTTTCGTTGCTCTATAATGAAGCTTCTACGCTCTCGAAAATCTGACACCCAATCATCTTTCTAACACATCGTTCGCTCAAACCACCCTGAACTCGAATGCAACGCTATGTACAGATATAACAGACGATAGATTACTAACTGTACACTCCAGATCGTACTCCACAAAGTGTCTCTGGCATCTCCGCCAATTAGTTTACCGGGACGAGGCTATCGTGATGAAGAGCTATAAAGATCGAATTAATTAACTGCGAGGATTGGAAAACACTGGAGACTCACTCCTTGTAGCAGTCCTGCCAGTGTGTGCCATGTGCCATGCGACTTAAATCAAGCTCAACACCTCCGGGTATCGTAAATGCAGTCCGAGGATTATATCTGAATGCCTGTTGAGAAGTGGGTGGTACCCAGAATAAGAGC